ACGAGAAAGGACCACCAGGGGCTGGGATGAGAGAGCATGGGGACAAGCGAGACGCAGACACGGGCGCGTTCGCCACGGGCAGCGGTGGGCGTATACCGATAGATGCCCAGCTAGAGTCATTTTGTTACCCACTGCGAGTTGCAGCGCATTTCGCCTAGCGGCACGATCTCGCCTGCAAACCTTTTACATACTTTACGTCACCTTATTCATCGAAAGGATTGTCCCAAGAAACAAAACCTGGAGTGTGGGTTTAAATGCTGTTGAAGCATGTCACAAGAATTGACTACAGTAATACGAAGGACCTGCTTTATTGATTTATGAGGATCATACAAAATTATAGCAGTGCAATACATAGAGGTAGTGATACAACATGAGATAATCAAAAACATTAAATACAATTAGTCCAGAGCAGCTTCTGTTCAGTAGCATAAATGAACGCGGTAGGCTTTCCTATCAAACGGTTCTGGTGCCATTGAATGAGCCCAGATATCTCTCCTGACTCGCGAGCATGCTTTCGATCGAGTTTTTCCTTTCATTTGCGGTTTAATTTTCGTTTCACTGGTTTCAATGGATTCGTATCCACTTGATCGCGATCTAAATTAGAAAGTGAAAACTCTTCGTATTCTTCGGACCAAGCCACGTGGGACGCGCCATGCAGACGTTTTCTAGCCGCCATTGCGGATCAATAACTCTTTATGCTAATGAGGCCTAAAAACGATGCCGATTACGTGAATCTTATTGATTGGTGGGATCTTCTCAACCTTTCGCTTGATGGGTACAAGATTCGCTAGCTTCATCAGAATCAGATGCTGTGGGATAAAAATCCCGTAATAGTTACCAAATACTTTGGCCAGGGATTGATCCCATGCCGGCAAACGCCACAACACCCAATGATTAACACTACCAAAATTTAAAAACGTCGTGCACGCGGAAATCGATACTATATCTCTCATTACCTACTACCAATTTTAGCCACATCCATCAAGCGAGGTGGATGCAGATGCAATCACAACTGGCATGCGTTCACACGGTTAGGCTGTGGTGTCCTTCCTAAAGTACCCCCTCTTCCTAGCTGCCATGGGTGAACATAGCTCATCATTGTCACCACCACTGAACAGAACAGGGGGAACATCTGAGAGAACCCACATGTAGTCGAGCTCCGTTGCAGGAGCCGTTAAGAAATGCCACAGCTCGTTCCGTAACAAAACTGTCAATCCAGTATGCAAGTCGTACCAAACATACGACTATGACTACCAGAAGAGATTCTGAAAATTTTAACGTTATATGTGGGTCCTGAAGAGATCTGCATTTGCTATGTTCACTCACGCTCTTTTGGCTTAGATTTGTAGAACTGATGTCGACGTGCGCACTGTGAGCTGAGCATGTATTGTAGGCAAAGTGGTTTCTTCAGGAATCTGAAAATAATAGTAATTTTGCTAAAAATAGAAAGAAGCGGCGTAGAATTTTTTTTGGGCGTCGTTTTTGAAGTAGGTATCTGCTTTAACCGCCAGATAGTACGGAGGTGGCGTCGCTATGGCAAGAGTTACCATAACAGACAAGGATGCAGTCCTTTTTGAGTTCTAAGCGGTTTTAAGAGCGCATTTTGCTCCTCGGACGGTTTTGGCTTTGAGATATTTGCCAAAAGCACTGGAAATATATCCAGCTGAGAGAATGGCCAGGAACCGATATAGTGTTTTCAGCACGCTACTAACCACTACATAACAGAACCCACTTGCTGTATTCTCTCAGCTTTATATCTATTTCATGACTTAAGGATTATGTGTTCATGTAAAACACGTATCAGGAGACCAACAAATGAATGTAGCACAGGATCATACCTGAAATCAGAGGAACGGTTAAGGAGCTGTTTGTGGAGTAACCACCTGGGCTAGTCACTTAATGCAGCATCGCTTCGCGTTGCTCGCCGAAGAAGTGCTGTTTGGAGGCTCCAGCAATCATTAGCTTAAATATTGTCTGCTTTTCTTGAAGCGTCCCCGTTGAAGCCCGATCTTTGGAAGGAAACCGCGAGGTAAATTATAAGGTCTACTAACCATAAGATCACTTCAGTTGGCCAAACAGTTTCGACTCTAGTCGCTAATTCTTAAAAGCCTCACCCATCACCCAAACGCTTCCCACCCATCTTGATATCGGCGTGCTCCTTCGAACAGCGTGATCTCTCGCGTGTTCTGTCTTCTTTGACCACCCTCCACATCCGACCTGTTTAATGGGTAAGGACTTATTAATTCACAGCGATCCAAAGATTTTTCTAGCTTCTCTTTCCACTTTCAGGACGTCTCGCAGCTCAGTTCTCATTGCGAAGCGCTCTTCTCACCGGCTTTATCCCGGGCTTGCGTTTAACTGTTGTTATTTCTGAGTAAATCGCAAGAATGCTGGTTTATAGACCTAAATGAAAAGGTTTGTCGAGTACCGGGTGTGTGATGCATTTCAGTCATAGTTGAGCACTTTTGGGCATATTATATATACCAAAAAGCACCAGTCAAGCAAAACAAAACTTTTGTGGAGCGCGAGGCAGGTGCCTGTTATGCTTTCACTCTACCGTGTCCCAAAATCACATCAAACAGTGGTATTTCCTTGGGTGGACAGACAAGAAAAATTACGATAATCCGCACCCGTTTTCATGGCTCAGTTCAGCCAAACTAACTGAGCCAGGAGGGCTAGACTGGGAGGGCTAGAAAATAGAAATTTGACGGGGTTTTTCTGTGCCGCACATCATTCCCCTGAGCATCTAATTCATGTTCTGATCAAAAATTTTCATTTGAAGCTTCATGAAGACTTCCAACCCATCAACATTTTTTTCTTTGGTAGCATATTTTGGCAGGCATTGCACTTTGCACTTCACGAAAACCTTGCGCTGTTGTGAATGGATGTAAGTGCTTACCGTAGCTTGCCTAAGGTATCACTTTCGGCTCGAGGTGATCGACCAGTCTGTGTTGTTGTCGTTCCCGTTCCGTTGCGTTGCTTTCGATGATGCATCTCAGGGGACGAGTCGTTCGATTCTGTAACTTGTGGATAAAGTTGGTGGTTAACCGAATTACGTGAACAAAGCAACTGGTGTCTCTAATGTGAAAAATCATCCATCGTAGAGCCCATTACTGAGAAACTTTCCCTGTAGATGAGGAGCTTCCGGAAGAAGTATGAACCTCAGAAGTTCACGAATTAGTTCATAACTAGCTTACCCGGTGAAGAATTCATCACGGCCGTTTTTTTTCAGAAACTGTCGTTTAGCTTCTCCCAGAACCCTTCTTACCACTAACAACTTGCATCCACGGGGGAAGGGGGTGGGAGGGGAGAAGAGGGTACTTCACAAGCACATTAAGTACCTCGACTTCGACTTACAGTATCGCTCACAAGAGTTCTCTGAATGTCGCAAAACAAACTGGTAACAATAATTATGATATTCAAATTAGTGATGCTGGGTAGGTGCGGTATATAGCATGCAGTAGGAAGGTATATCTTGAAAACAGTCACTTAAACCCTAATGGAATTGATTGGTAGCAGGAGCTTGAAAAGGAGCTGTACCAAACAGTCGATCTATGAGACGCTAAAGATAAATTCACGTCAGTGATGAAATCACTCGGGAGAATGAAATCCGTGGGTTGTGTTTGACTTTCCGCGCTCAATGAACGAAATCCAAACAGAAATCTGTACGATTTCGCTGACAGCATTGTAAATGACGTTTATTTGGTTGGTTTTCAACGCCTTGTAAAATATGAAAAAGTGACATACTCAGCGTTCATCAGTCCTCTAGGAACGTGCCACGAACCTGAGTTCCATTTGCAAATGGACAGGCGCTTGAATTTACGTTTACCTGAAACTTTGGCTTATCGGTTTTGATAGTTCTTGCCTACATCAGCAAAAGTGTTTAACTTCCATCAAACGTCCGAAAATCAATCAACTGACCCTGAACTCAGGGAAGAATTCATTGAGCTATGCTTAACCCAGGGCCCAAGCGATGTGAAGCATCTCAACACTGGGATAGCCTATGACGTGTGCCAACAAATCTGCAAAGCTTTAATTAGTCATGACTGATCATTTATCCCTTTTATTGCTGCAGTAGATCTTATTCCATTTGCCTGGCTCCTTAGAAAATTGAAAAATCACTGTTTCTCCTCTGCACAATGTCAAACTTGCTCTGCATTGCCTATATGCGCATTCAAAAAGGGTTTTTTTTTAAAATTTTTTTCCAAATAAATTCTTTGTCGGCGAATTCGTCGATCTCAATCAGGCCTTTTGCCTCAAGAGTACCACTTCAACGCTGATCGTGTGGGCGAGTCCATGATGCGCCCTTCCCATTCGTGACCCTCTAGTCGCAGGTCATAAAAGGTCTCACACATTTGGCATGGCCTGCAGTCAGTGTGCTCCTGGGCAAACAGCCGTCACAAGTGATCATTCGAATATCCTTTTCGATCCTCAATGTTCTTTAGAGAGTTGCTATTTATCCTGCCATCATTTAGGATCAAACCCATCCGCTGCTGACATTCTAGTCGAAACACGTGAATTTTATCATTCCATGGACAATTTTCTGTGAACCGTCCATGCTGAATCATGGCGTTCTTATAGTTGGATACGGTACGGAAAAGAACAAACCCTACTGGATCATAAAGAGAATTCATGGGGAACCAAGTGGGGAGAGAGCGGTTATTACAGGTAATGGTTTCTTCGTTTCTATTTTTACTCTTACCACTATATTGTGAGTGATTTATTGACTGTGTTGCTACAGCCGAGCTGAGCGAATTATTGTACTGTGATGACTAATCTTGAGCTAGACAATAATTGTGAACATTATTGCTCTTTTGAGGGCGGAGTTTTGACTAATTGCGTCTAGCACTGCGCACCTTCACAGAGATCCTTCACTCACTGGATATCGCATACGCTCCTGCAACAACTATATTGTACTCTCGCGCCCAACGGGGTGGCGGGAGGGGGGAATGTGGGCTGAATGTCGGGCTGGGTGGTTAGCTGGCCGTTTCGAGGGAGGAGTGTTGGGCGGGATACGTAATGGCAATAAATCAGATACCCAGAAGAAGGCCAGTGCCGGCCTCCATTAATACGCGACCAACATGCCTTGGCCTTACTGTTTTCTACCTCGCGTCATTGGCTTCAACCGAAGTTTAACTTTCCCCCAATTTTTATACTTTTTTTGAAAATTCCTGGGTCCAGTGTGCAAATTCGCATGTGTGTACCAAATGCTTCAAAATTCTTGCTGAGAGCTACAACTTCCGCCCACCAAACCAACATTGCATTTGTTGGAGGGAATACTACCATTTAAAATGCTCATCGGTTTTTCACAGTTTTCTCAAAAGACAGTGAAGTCTTTGAAGTGATGCCCGCAATCGTCGTCAAAAAGGTGGCCCTAGTTAAATCAGTCGAGACGGGGCTGCACCAGTCTTGTGCTGAAATGGTAGGACACCTTAGCAGTGACTGATCGATGGTGCACAAACGCTTTAACGAAGTTGATTGCACCAAGAAATTCTAATAAATGTGCTCATCTGCTACTCACGTGTGCTCAAAAAGGGTGCGTTTTTGACCCTATGTGGCAAAAAAGACTCCGGGAAAAATTGTCCAGTTGAGCTGGTAAGTTTAACTTTTCCACCATACAGTGCAGACCCTACTCTAACTAACTGTATACTTCTTTTGTCCAGGCCTAACTTTTTAGCAAGTGAGAGGGATGATTTGTCAGATGATGTCAAAACCGACCTACCTCTCTTTTTCGACTCAAAAAATTCCTAGCTTTAATCGTACGAGGTTTCCACTCATACTGGTAAATGGGAAAGTGCTAATGAGTCATTCGATGAATATGCTGTTTCATAACGACACTAAGATATCCGGTACTTAATAGTTTCTTCGCGATTCGGTGGACGGAAGTGGATTGGTGGTGAGCGGCTTATCACGCGCACAGTCAAAGGGCCAAATCCCGGGCCATGTGTCGTTTAGGCTATCCACGCCTTCCATTTTTTTGGGGTCGGTACAACAAAAGAAATCGTCTGGATAATAGGACACAAATACTGACTTATATATCGACTTGCTACCGCAAGGCAAAATTCTACAGGATCGCATCCAAAATGCCGCTACGATTCTGTACAGAAGGAAGAATGCGTTGTGCACCCCCGATGGGATTGATCAACTTCAAATACCTTATCTATATGTATTTATTTACGTATAATGTATTCATGTTCAGTCCGACATTAATTCCTTTTTCAGGCTCTATCGCGGGAAAAACGTTTGTGGTGTACAGGAAATGGCCACGTCTGCTATTGTTTTATAGTCCCTTGCTCAATTCAACTGCACCATCTCTGACACATTTTAATCGTTTCTGAATCGTTTTAGTATCAATGTTGTATCTGAAATGCGCCCTCCTGCTTTACCACCGTCGATACTGAATTTTTATGTGATAAAATAAAAATTCGTTACTGATTGTTCACCGTGTTCGCTGCTTTGCTAGAAGCCTGGTCAACCATATGTAATTTGCCGACAAGGGGCTTGCATTTGGCTCGCGTAGGAGAGGGGTAGTATGCGCATGTGTCTTACAATACCGTGTTTCATTTTCGCTGAGCGGCCACCTGAAGGCCAAAAAAGGGTTGAGAAAACTTCGTTAACACGTTGACGACAACGCGCGTTTTGGGTTTTTGCGCCGCGTGGGACCACGGCGATTTTGCAGGCGCCGCCGCCTCACATCAAATCCGTGAA